TCCCTTTAAAGGGTTTCCTTTAAAGGGGTCTATAGGGGATCTATAGCAGGGTTCAAAATTATAGGTGCCTTAATAATTAGCATATGGTTTGGGGGCAGTATGCTATAATAAGGACCACCCAAAATAGCATTGGTAATTATTTAGGCCCCCATTTTAAACCCCGAACCCTGCAACCCCGACCCTAAAGCCCTGAAGCCTTAAAGCCCTCAGAAAGCAATGCTGCCTGTGCGTTACGTCCGAACTCCGCCGAGCGCAGGCCTACACATCACAGGGCGATGTGGCTTTTTGAAGGGTCAGGAGAATCAGTAAGAAGGCTATGGTGGAGAGGTTTTGGGGTTTTTAACTTCGGCTTCGTAATTCAAGATCTGTGGTATTGGGGGCTCAGGTGACATAGAAAGTAGGTCATGCATGGAGTTATATACAATTACCCTGATTCAGCTTATCCTACTCGTGGCTGACGGTACTTAGGTGTTCTCTGTCGAGAAACCGGTTTGGGCTTTGGGGTTTTCGACTGTGGGGTTACGGCTTCGGATTTAAAGTAGGTATCTGGTTAATCACCTCAGATCGAGAGTAATACGCAGGCCTTTCGGTTGTAGAGGCTTGTCTACGATGGTCATATCAGGAACCCTAAGGAACGGTTTGACAAGTATTTCGACCACAAAGTTACCCTGAATCGCACACCTCGGAAATAAGCTTCAAACACGTCTACAGAGCCCGATACCCTAAAACATGAATCCATGAACCGGCTATGATGTATAATAAGCTTGGAGGACTCTAGCCTATCTTACCCAAGCTTTGCCTACAACCCACTTGCCACCCGAACACGCCCTAAGGGTCCTTACACTTTGGGACACTCAAAATGTAGCATTTCTGAGACCCGAGACAGATGCAAGGCCTCTTTCTAGAGATTCCGGACCCTCCTAAGAAGATACCTGGACACCTCACGGCAAGCCCTTTCAACTCAAAATGCATGGCCTGGCATCCTATCCGCCCGAAACCGCCTAAACCCGAAACCCTATAAACCCTAAACCAAACAAATCATAAGCATCCGCCCAAATCTTCAGAACTCCTCACCCTGAAGATCCCAAACCATGTCCCCAACTTCTGGACCTAAAGCCTGTGATGACACCCCAAATGCCGAAAACAAAAAGGGTTAATGAACAGACCCAAAGCCTGAACTGTGAAAGGTCTACCAATCCCCACCGCCACCAAACGCAACACCTTGACGTGGGAGTTTCCGGATTCCGAAGTTAGGGATACCATATTTAGGGGTCCCTTTATAATACGGCTCCTACTATTTTAGGGTACTATGCTAGGGTCCCCTATTGTCGGAAGCTCCCAAGTCGTAAAGCTGATAAACGCACGATTGACTTAAGCCCACGGTTAAAGCTGTCGTCCCCACAGTTCCTAGCAACTCCAAACCCGAAACCCTGTATAACGAACACAATACTTGGAGGGTCGGGGGACTTACTAAGTAGATATTTTACAGAGTTGTAAGTGTTATAACCCCAATTAGGGTCCCTTTTAGGGTGCTTATAACTCTACTTATTACCTACTTACTAAGTCTCCCGACCCTCCAAGTAACATAACAAACGGTTGCTGGAAAAGGGGCTATGCAACAACAGCAAATGCAAAATACAATGCAACGCAAACCTAAGCCTACACCTTAAACCCCTAAACCCTAAACCCCTAGACCCCCCAACCCCAACCCTAAACCGTGAGCCTGTATTCCTAAGCTCCCAACCCCCTAGACCCCTAAACCCCCAGCCCTATAGATCCCTGGTGGGCACCCTTAAAGGAACCCTCATAGATCCCTTTATGCGTCCACCCTAAACCCTACCCTAAGGGTCCGGGTATCTGCTTGGGTCTCGTTGGGGTCCTACATTTTGAGGTTCCCTATAGTGTTAGGACCCTTAGGGTAAACCCTGACAGCTGCCTCCCAGCAAAGCTTGCCGGAGATCTCCCAAAGCCGAGACCTTTCGTCGCCCCGGAGGCCAAGGCTCCGCGATACCATTTGGGAGTTTCCGAAAAATAAGGGACCCTGATATATAGTACCCTAAATAGTAGGTTCCTTGTTATAAGAACCCCCAAAATAGGTACCCCTAACTTTCTGAAACTCTAAGTTGGGTGGGAGGCCCTTTACGAGGTGCTTTAGGGGTTCAGGGTCTAGGATTTGGGGTTTTGGGTTTTGGGTTTTGGGTTTGCGACTTAGGGCTTGGAGTTTAGGACTACGGTTGATGATATAAACCCTGCATTACACATACTAAGGAAAATACCATAATTCCCATAGTTTAGGGTCCTTAAGGTATTGCAGGATTCATATCATCAACAGTTTCAGGGTTCCTGAAGCGAGGGGATTTTCGGAATTTGGGAGTCTATCGGTGTATGGTCTGTCTCAAGTGCTTTAAACTTAAACGGATTCTTTAAGGAGTTATGAAGGGGTTATACAGGGGCTTTCGGGCTCGGGTTTGGGATTCACGGTTTAACAGTGGCTGAACCTACGGGGTTATGTGCAGGCTGATATAGTTACAGGGTGGGGGCTCATACGATTAATAAAGGGCTCTTGACAATCGTTCAGGGGTTTAGGGTTCAGGATTTTCACGGTTGGGTCTAGGAATTCTGCACTTGTTCATGGAGGGTGGGGGTTGCGGTTTGGGGTTAATCTGCGGGGCCTTAACGAACATGTATACGCAGTAGGATTTTGAGTCCATTACAGTATGCATTCTTAAACTAGAGGAACCCTCAGGAATGGTGTTAGCAATTATGCAAACTTCTGTAATATCGTGTGGGTTCGCTTACGCAAGGTCTCGGGTTTAGGTTCAACGCTTCGGCCCATGGACAATCCGAATCCGACGGACACATGTTTGCACAAGAGACCTTGATAGCAACCTGGCAAGCCCATCCAAAACTTCGCAACCCCAAACCCTAAACCCCGAAAGCCCTAAAACCCAAACCCTAAACCCCGAAAGCCCTAAAGCTCAAACCTTCAGCCCTATAGATCCCTTGTCGTAACCCTTGTAGGAACCCTCATAGATCCCTTTAAAACCCTTAAAGGAACCCTTATAGAATCCTTAAAGGAACCCCTATAGGTCCCTTTAAAGGAACCCTTAAAGGAACCCTTATAGATCCCCTATAGGAGCCCTTAAAGGATCCCTTTAAAGGAACCCGGGAGCTGCCCCATAGCCAGGCCTTGGCCTTCCTCACAGACACGTCCACTGCGAGGACCTAAGCACAAGGGCCAAGGATATACATGGGAGTTTCCGAGAATTAGGGGTACCTTTAAGGGTTCATTTAAAGGAATATAAGTGTTCCATACACGGCTTCGGGTTTAGGGTTTAGAGTCTTATTTTGTGGTCCTTATAATAAGGATCCTACTACCGTGGGTCCTACATTTGGGTCCCCCTATTTTCGGAAACTCCCAAATGTAAATACGGTTGATGATATAAACCCTGCATTACCCATAACGAGGAATATATATCATGATTCCCATAGTCTGGGGTCATTAAGGTAATGCAGGATTTATATCATCAACCGTATTTCGGCTCCAAAGTAACTGTGTAGGCAACCCTTTGAAGCCTAAGTGTGTATGTGTGTATGCGTATACATATATATATATATATACATGCAATATTATCCCTAAGGGTCCATGTGCCCAAATAGTCCATACTATGGCCCCTAAGTGTATGGCTACTATTTCGGCACATGGACCCTTAGGGCATACAGGTAAGCGGATCACGTTCGAGCCCTGCTCGGAAAGTCTTGAACGCCATACAGCATCCTGCGATTCGATCACCCCTCCAAATCCTAAACCCCAGACCGAAAATCCCACAATTTAGGATTCAAAATCTGAAGTCCTTGCTTTAGAAGCCTATATCTTTCAGATGCTTGGAGCTGCTGATTTCAAGCTATCAGCGGATTCAGCGGACAGCTTAAAATAACTCATCTTAAATGTCTCTTCGAACTGTCAACCCTTGCTTATTCTTCGATACGGAGGACTCTAAACTCTCTAAGCCCTATATGTGTACATCATCATACGGATTCGTTTAAGGGGCATGGGGCTCTGGACCCCCCCCTCCTCTCCGCTGCCAGGACGCCAGAGTTCGGATTTGGCGCCGCCTCACCGATGAAGCCGCCAGGGACTCAGTGAGGTCCGCAAGAAAACGTCGTCTCTGAGCGGTCCAAATCGCCTGCGGAGTGGAGTGCTGTTCCCCAAAACCGCAAGGCTTAAAGGTTCCAGCTTTCAGAACAAGACTATACCTCATAAGAGCCCAAAAGTTGAAAAGTTGGGTTTTGGACCAATAAGAAGCCCAACTCAATACCTAATAAAACACGTAAAGCATTACCCTACAAGTAGCTAGGAAAACAAGTGAGGCTTGATGAAAAACCCACCCCTTTAAATGACCCTTAACATGGTTATCGTTTGATTTTACTCTTATCGTTTTACAGGACTTAGGGTCTGTATGATCTACTTCAGGCGCTTTTTGCTACTCTTATCGTTTCACAAGACTTTAGGAAAACATCTCGGTTATCGTTATTTTTTACTCTTATCGTTTTACAAGCGATAAGCATCATTCTCCGCTCAAAGACGCTTTTATCTAAAACCTGCTAGCGGTTTTTTTATCATCCCTCAAGTTAGTATTAACATTTCGTTGTTGGAGACTGACGATAGACCTCACACAAGCTAAAGCGGACGATGCCCGAATACTTGCAGCGGGAGCAGACTGCAGCCGAGCTAGGTTCCAGGAAAAGAGCTCAGGTTTTCCAGAGCTAGAGCCTTATATCTCCATACCGCCCAACGGTAGACACAAAACAAGCAGCCCCAGGAGGCGCAAACTTGTCAAACAAAGTCCCTCTCACGTCCAGGTTTCGTCCTAGCATCGTGCTTCCATAAATCCTGGTGTGGTGTAGGACATGGTTCTGCAGATTCCTTGGGAAGTGGAGAGAAACAGCCTCCGTCTGCCCGCAATTGGATCTCCCAACACCCAAGCGCTAAAGCAGGTTTAGGTCAACCCGAGGACAATTACCAAGGAGATCAGAATAGGCGGGATGTGCAACATTTCTTCTGCCTGAAACTTGTCTCCCAGGGCCGCATAAGACCTGGGACGCGGTGCTAGGCTTTCCGTTCGTGGGGATTTAAGCTGCTTTTTTAGGGTGCTTTTACATGAAGCATGGGTGCTAATATAGGGGCCTGAATAATCACCCATAGCTACTATTTTGGGGGGCTGCTTATTCTAATTTGGTATAATGGGCCCCAAAACCCGATTATAATTATTGAGGCCCCTACATTGCTGAGCTTCTACATGAAACCTGGCTGCTACTGCCCGAAGTAGACCTGCAAGGAAGACACAGCCGTCTGACGTGTGCGACGAGCCTCCTGATGGTTCCAAGGGCAAAAGGAGGGACCCTTATAATAAGGACCCCTAGGTATATACCCTTCATATAGCTACTATACTCCCGTTATATAGCCCATTATAGGGTAGGGGTCCTTATTAAGGGTCCCTCCTTTTCCCCTTTGAAATGGTTGTTGTGGTTGCTCTGATTGGTCGTGGAGTAGACAGCGTGATGATGATCGTGTCGACAGCACCGCCAACTTCGTCAAGCTGTGTAGCTTCCAGGCTCCCAGGCCTGAAATTCTTCATGCCGACAAGCAAGAATCGGAAAGTATTGGGCTTCATAAGTGTTTTTGGAAAAGTTTCAACTTGAAGATCCTCTTGCTTGCCACGCTTGTCACACCTCATGTCGCAACTCATTGAAGCTAAGCTCTAGTTCGAGAATGATGCTAAGTACCATAGTTGGGTGATCTGAAAGTTTCCAACTCTGCTCAGAACACAGTTTCAAAGCCCCTGATACAGTTGAGTGTCCTGCACCCCTACCACAGATCCTGAACTGTCAACCCTTCTGAACCGTAAACCCCAGCCCCTAAGAGCAAACCCGACCGAAACAGCTTTGAAATCCAATTCCCCTCAGGCCTACTCACTTTTCTTTCAGGACCCTGTTGAAATCCAAATCCCTCTGAGCCCGAAAGTAGAGTACTGATTTACGAACCAATTTCCTTTCAGGACGTCAGCATACGGATCCCGAGTACAACCCATGCAAGACTCTGCAGGTGAAATGAGCTGCTCAACCGCCTGTCGCTCCCCAACGCGCTGCTGAGCCGCGACTTCTCCTCCGCGATAACCCGGGCAATCGGTGGGAAAGCCATCAGTTGCCGCTTGTGAACCTGCGCGGTGAAGGGCCAAAACTCTAAACCCTTATAAACCCTAACCCCTGAACCCCTAAACCCTAAACTAAACCCCTAAACCGTAAACCCTGACGAGGGTCTTGGAGAGTGGCTGTATCTGTAGACCAGGGAACCCTAATGGACATACTCCAATTTACCTATAGTCTCCATTGCAGTTTTTTGGTTAACCAAAATCTCCATTTTAGGGTCCTAGCCATAAAACTGGTTAACCAAAAAAAGGAACTACAATGGAGACTCTAGGTAGTTAGGTGCATATCGTTTGAATACGGGACAGTAAGTGGGGGGATTCAGGGTAAAGCCGCAGCTTCAGAAGGTTTCAGATCGCGTGGATGGCTGGTATGATATGTGGATAATGGGTACTCTGTGTGTGTAAGCAACATTAACTAGGCTGTTCAGTAACCCACTGGGAAAAAGTATATACCTGTTAGGCTCCTTATTTCATAAGAGGAACCCAGAAACCTGAAAGTAAAAAAGTGTACCTGAACAGCCTGGATAATGTCGAAATCTCAGACCAATGCATCCAAAGACTTTAGCTTTCTGATCGCTATGACCGTTGAGAGGTCTCGAGACAGCTAGGGCCCTACCTAGACCTACTAAACCCTACTTTTCGTAGGTTCTTATAATAAACCCTACTATTGGATTTATAGGGGCCCTACAAAAAAGTAGGTTCTGGTGCGTGGAGGCAGTTACTCTAAGAACCCGCATCTGAGTTTATAAACCCTACACCCCGCTAAGTTCGAATCCTTGAGGCGCCACCCCCTATATAGAGCCCCATCGAGAGCGCACCTTCTGCGCAAGCTGGCGCCATTGCTCTTCCATGGTTGCCTGCCATTGGATAAAGGTTCGTTTCATCGAATGATAGTCGGGTGCACAGAGAAGTAGGTAAACACAACTGTCTAATTTCAAACGTCTTCACTTACATGTCCATCAATCATTCGATCTACATAATTCTACATACATGTCCCTCCATCCATCAATCCATCCAACGAGCCAGTGAGCCAGCCAGTGAGCCAGCCAGTGAGCAAGCCAGTGAGCAAGCCAGCCATCCATGCAACAACCTATGTACCCATGTCTCGATCTACCTATCTATCTATCTGTCTACTCTGTCTATCAACCAAACCCTGCATCCATCCATCTATCTGTCGTTATCTATGTAATCTATCTGAACCACTGATTCCCTGTGCTTGGTACCCTCCGGTTCTGTCGCTTCTTCAGGCTTCGCAACATCGACCTCATCCAAAATGTCTTAGCGGCCAAGCCCCGCAGTAGATGCTGGTTTGCTTGGTTTGCTTTTGGTTCGGATGTTAGGCGTGGCTCCCAAGGATCAGGTGAGCACCACGCACAGGTAGGATGCAGCAGAATAACCCCGAAGCCAAAAGCCCCAAAGCCCCCCCCCTCAATGGTCCTGACGCTGCATTTCCGTCGATGCTGTGACGAGGCATCGAAGAAGGAATGACAACTCCTGCATTGCGCCACAGCTGACTCCAAAACCCGGGCTTGCCAGAACTCCCAAAGCCTAGATGTCTGCAAAGGTGCGGGCGGGCGTGTGACTGTGTGCGTGTGCGTGTGCGTGTGCGTGTGCGTGTGCGTGTGCGTGTGCGTGTGCGTGTGCGTGTGCGTGTGCGTGTGTGTGTGGGTGTGGGTGTGTGTGTGTGTGTGTGTGTGTGTGTGTGTGTGTGTGTGTGTGTGTGTGTGTGTGTGTGTGTGTGTGTGTGTGTGTGTGTGTGTGTGTGTGTTTTTGTGTGTGTGGGTGTGTGTGTGTGTGTGTGTGTGTGTGTGTGTGTGTGTGTGTGTGTGTGTGTGTGTGTGTGTGTGTGTGTGTGTGTGTGTGTGTGTGTGTGTGTGTTTGTGTGTGTGTTTGTGTGTGTGTGTTGTGTGTGTGTTGTGTGTGTGTGTGTTTGTTTGTGTGTGTTGTGTTTGTGTGTGTGTTTTTTGTGTGTGTTTTGTGTGTGTGTGTGTGTTTGTGTGTGTGTGTGTTTGTGTGTTTTTTTTTGTTTTTTTTGTGTGTGTGTGTGTGTTTTTGTGTGTGTGTGTAGTTGTGTGTGTGCGGTGTTTGTGGTGTGTGTGTGTTTTTGTGTTGTGGTGTGTGTGCATGTTTTGTGCCGTGTGTGTTTGAAGTGTGTTGGTGGTTGTGTGTTTTTTTGTGTGTGTGTTTTTGTGTGTGTGTGTGTGTGTGTTTGTGTTGGGTGTGTGTGTGTGTGTTGGTGTGGTGGTGTGTTTGTGTTTTGTGTGTGTGTGTGTGTTTGTGTGTGTGTGTGTGTATTTGTGCGTGTGTGTGTGTGTGGGGGGGGGGGGCGTAACCCTGAGGTCATCGAACCCCGGAGGTGCCCGCATGGACATTTCGGGGCTTTGAAACCCCTAAACCCCAACATCCACAGGGAAGAGAGATGCTGTGCGTGAATTCTGTGAGCACTGGCTCAATGAAGACCCCCCTCGCCACCCCTGCCCCTCTTCGGAGAAGTTGGGGCTCCTACTTGGAAGAACATGGGACTTAATGAATAAAGTTATGAGTTCCAGAACCAGGGTTACAAGTAGTCATGAGTATAGTCATCTTGTTATTAATAACCCAAGTCACCAAGTCCCATGGTTCTTTAAGCAAACCAAGTCCCCCTGGGCCTTCAAGCTAAAGACTTTGAGAGACACAATGGTCCACGGCAAAGATTTGGACGGGTAAAATCGGATCCCGTTCGTTGGCCCTTTTAATGGGGGACAGTAGGATCTCTTAGTTTCAGAAACCCTCATGATACCCTCAGGATCCATGTACTCAAAAAGCCTACACTTGGGCCCAAAAGTACCTAAATAGGGACTACATTGAGGCCAATGTATTTATTTTGTGAATAGGGATAAAGCTGTTGTGCCCAGCGGCGAGTGCACGTAACCATTCAGAGATCCCAATACCCCTGAATTAAGGATTATACCTTAAATTATAAAGGGCTTCATATCATGGTGTTAATGTAACATCCTTAATTTTATGAACTCTAAGGATCCAAGTACCCAAATAGTTAGTATGGTTTCAAGGTCCAAAAACCTTTCAGAGTATGGATTTTGGGACCTAAATCCCTACTATTTGGGTACTTGGACCCTCTGGGAAAGGGTATTGGGTTCTCCGGGCACTCTACAACCCTTGACCTTCTCCCTGGGTCCTTCTGCTGTCCCAGCGATGCTAACAGGTTCCAGCGCAAGGCCACGTTGGCATCCGTCAGCGCGGTAAGTGCCGCCGTGGCCGTCGCCATCTGACATGGGACTTAGTAAGTAAGGTTATAAAGTACCTTAATTGGGGTTATAACTAGTTATAAGTATAGTTACCTTAGTTATAGAAAAATTATAAGAGTCCATTTGTAGAATATTGTATAGCTAGCCAGCTGTACCTGTTTTGGCCTTGGACGAAGCTTGTGCTGAATAGCTTGAGGGCGTAAGTGTGCAGCATATTTGCCGTGTAGTACTATTGCTGCTATACGTAAACCAAGCATACTTGGACGGTCGGGGGACTTAGTAAGTAGGTACTATGCAGAGCTATAAGTACCCTAAACGGGACCCTCGTTGAGGTTATGGTACATATGACTCTTTACAATATCTACTTAGTCAGTCCCCCGACCCTCCAAGTAACCTCATGGACTGTGGCACGTTGGGTTCGAGAGTGAGCAGGTCGGAGAGAGGAGATAACTTTCTCGAAGCTGCTGAGCTAGTGTGCGTGTCCCAGAGTTACTTAGCTGCTGAGTTCACAAGCCCCCATAAAAGTGTACACTTTCAGTTTTATTTTGCGTAGTATTATCCCCAAAAGTGTAAAGTGTATCCACTCAGCTACTAAGATTCGCTATCTGGGCGTGGGGCTAGGGCGACTCCGGCTGATATGAGTGGACGGTTGGATTCGGGTTGAAGCCACTTGGGGCGATCAGCATCGCATGCCTCTTCGATTTACATGTCAGTACAGAAGGACGGGTTCGGGTTCGTGAGTGCTGAATCTTAGGAACCGGCCTTGAGCTAGAAGTTGTGAGTCCTTTTCCCGAAACCCGCAATACTCCACCTACTGCAAACCCTAAAGCCCAAACCCTAAACCCTGGCCCTAGAAGTTAATGCGCGCTAAAGATCGTCAGGCTAAGGAGGTGTAGGATCTGTGATTAGGTTAGCATAGAAACAAATAGTAGATATGAGGGCACATTTCTAATGAGTTCTGTATGTATAATATATATATATATATATATATATATATATATATATTATGCATTGTAGGATACTCAACGAAAAACACGTAAACTACAACAACCCAAAAGCCAAAGAACGCATATAAAATGCTGAAACCCTGAATCAACACTCTGTTGTACAACATAACAGGCACACAACGAAGCATGCACATTCATGCATACATAGACATATAACATATATACATATAAGTGTGCATATATGTATATATATATATATATATACATATAGATACAAATATGTATGTGTGTGATTGTCTAGTTACTTGGCTGTTATATCTGTATGCATACATACATACATGCATACATACATTCGTAAGTACGTACATACACACACATACGTGCATACATACATACATACATACATACATACATACATACGTAGATGTATGTATGTATGCATTTTTGTCTGTAGGCCGGAGTTGATAATCTATAGGTCATGGGCCTCAGGGGTTGCGAAGACTTCAAGTTGCACAATAAGACAGCCGTGAAGGCAAGCCTTTTTGAACAAATAACGGTGCTATCTTGACTTAAACTAAGCCCCGTATCAAGACCCCAGCACAGGTAATTTTGTTCTGCTTTGCATTCGATTTCCATTGTGTACCGTGCTGCCGTTCAACCTACCTTTAATTAATCAATCCGGGGCAACATACTCACGGTTAACATTGTGTATCTGGCAAAGGATTACAAGGGCGCGGTCGCAATGTAATTCCCGTAGATATGCTTCACCGAGCGCTATAGGGGCATGCTATGACATAGATGGCTGCTTGCCTGCCATGCCGCTACAACCGTCTGGCTTCCACATGCCTCGACACCACTATCACTACTCTTCTGCCATTTCAACTTTCTTTGCACTGCGACATCACAGTAGAGTCGGTAGAGTTCTTGCAGTACCGGTCAAGATCCGATAAAAGCCCTCTAAAACCCAGGAAACGCCGTTGCTTCCCCTTTTTTGTTTCGAACAATGCCACAGCTGCGACAAACAGACTCGGGCACTTCAGCCGCCAACTGCCCAATAAAACGGAGTTGCTGCAATGCCAAACACATACGGCAGCAACAATACGGGAGTTTCCGAAGATTAGAGGTGCCTTATTCTTCGGTCCTTATACCCAGGATCCTACAATTTAGGGTGCCATAGTAGGGTCCCTTGTTCTCGGAAACTCCCATATGAGTTTCTCCAGATTAAGGCCAGAAAGAACTTTTCTATAGTCTTCGGTATGCATCTGGGACTGCCTTCGCTTGATGAGAAACTCGGACATGACAGTAAGGGGCGGACTGTAGCAACTGTGTTGAACATATGTCACAGATACGGAAAAGAAGGTCAATAAACATCAACGGTAGCCACTAATCTTCACAACCACATCTAGTTCATGGTCGGGATAGGATCAAAAAATTACATTTGTATTTCTTATTGGGTTTAAGTACCCCCAAAAATGTAAAATGTTACCCAACTATGACAAAGACATGACTGTTGCAATGCTGCTTCTGCAGCAGAAGCTCCGAGAATGCTGCTGTGGCGTGCTCTCCTCCAAAGGGGAAAAGGAGGGACCCTTGATGGGGACCCCTACCCTATAACGGGCTATATAATGGGTATATAATAGCTATATTAAGGGTATGTACCTAGGGGTCCTTATTAAGGTTCCCTCCTTTTACCCTTGAACTGCTGGGAGTCGGCAGGTAAGGGCTTCACAACCTCTCTGTGTACTCTGCGTGCACACGAAGGCAAGAGGGATCGCAGGAGGTCCCCGCGCTGCCGCATTGGCCATTAAACAGCCAACTGTACAGAGTAGAGGCTGTACAAAGAAAAGGGTGCAATGGGCGTGAAAGCTACACCAATACTATCGCACACGTCTGAACGGGTCTGAACGTTGTGACTCTGGTGCAGCCGCAGCCGCCTCGCACTATGCATCTCAGATGTTCATGGATAGCACAAAATTTCCAGCTCATGTTGTCCGATCTGTCGCAGCCGATTCTCTTGTTCTTCTCTCGTTGGCTGAAATCCTCTGTCTGTCAGTGGCACCATCACCTCAGGCTCGGGAACGGCCACTTTCTTGGAGGTCATGCAACCCATGGCACTCAGCTTGCGTCGTTGGAGGACACGGCTATCGAGCTGGCGCTTTCCTTGGCCTGAGATGCCTCTGCGGGACCACAGACACTCGGGAACATACACACACATATATATATACTATACTATACTATACTATACTATACATCTAACATATATATATATATATACACATATATATAGCTCAATATTATATATATATATATATAATCTGAGATCCTCCGTCCCTGAATCCAAAAGCTTCCATCCCCCAACCTTAAACCGCGCGAGAAAGCCTATGCTTGAAAACCAATCAAACGACTTGAAACCCTACCCCTAAGGGTCCAGGTAGCCAAATAGTATACATCTTGGTCCCAATGTACCTATAGGGAGCACTTTAAGGCCAATGCATATACCATATGAGCACATGGACCCTTAAGGTACGACCTTTAACGACACGGCAAATGTCGTTGCTGTCGTCCTAGGTTGTGCAACCACCCAGAGGCTCCGATGTACCTTGATTAAGGAATATACCTTACTTAAATCAGATCAGGGAGCTCATTATGATTTAAGGTATATATACTTTAATTGAGGGATATTGGAATCGCTGGGCACACGCGCATCGGAAACGTGCGGATCGCGGTTCATGGTAAGACCTTGCGATGCAAAATATGTACTTGCAGTACCTACTTGGAGGGCCGGGGGACTTAGTAAGTAGGTACAAGTACCCTAAACGGGACTCTCATTGAGGTTATGTTACTTATAACTTTCAAGCTACTTAGTAAGTCCCCCGACCCTCCAAGTAGCTTGCAGGCGTAGCAACTGGAATCCAGCACAAGCACTGCAAATCCCTGAACCCTGAACCCTAAAGCCTAAAACCCTACCTAAACGCGTAAACCCCTAAACCTTAAACACCTACAAATCTAGAGGTTTAAGCCCCTACAGCCGTCGAAGCTCGATGTTGTGGGCTAAACAAGCTCTCTTTGTCCGGTATCCTAGGGGAACTCAAGGTCGACCTTCGGGAATGTATAGGAGTTTCGAAAACTAGGGGGTACCTTATTTTGGAGTCCTTATAGTAAGGATCCTACTATTTAGGGTACTATATTATATTAGGGTCCCCGATTTTTCGAAAACTCCCATATAGGGACTATACTATCCCAAAAAAAAGCTGAAGGTTACCTACTCGACTACTGCGCAAGTGTATCGGCCTCTGCACGGGCAGTCGAGGCTCGCGCGGCCTTGCTGAAGCTTCGTGGGGCATTTGTGCTGGTAAGGCCTAGAGCTTTAGGGCTTCAAGAGGGGTTTACGCTTTAGGTGTGGTAGGGCTTAGGGCTTAGGGAGGGCATAGGGGGGCATAGGAATGGGACTGTAGGATTTAATAAGGGCCAGGAATTATTTGGGATTTTTTTTTTTTTTTTTTTGGGCATTTTTTTTTTTTTTGCTGCTGTTCCTTGGTTTTTCCTAGGGAAAGCACCAGTTTCCTTAGCTTTTGGACGGATCTGGCGTCATTTTCCTTGGTTTTCCCTAGGGAAAACACTAGTTTCCTTGCGTTTTGGGCAGATTGGGTGTGATTTTCCTTCGTTTTCGTAACGAAAACATATTCTTGTTTCGATTTTCCCTAGGGAAAAACACTGTTTTTTCTTACATTCTCGACGGATTTCATGTGTTTTCCGCGGGAAAACTTACACCAGTCGCGTAAAACATACGTTAATCTTAGGTTTTTCTAGGGAGAAAGTATTTTTACCATTGCGGACGGACTTCGTGTGATTGTCTTTGGTTATTTCCCAGAAGAACCCACAATACTTCGAGCGAAGCGTATGTAACCTTGCGTTTTTCCAGGGGATAAACCGTTTGCCGTACATTTTGGACATTGCTTCTAGTGCTTGGTTTTACACCAGAGAAACACTATTCAGCTTGCATCTAGGACGGATCTGGTGTGATTTTTCTTAATTCTCGTCAGGAAAACTGTCACTTACCTTGCTCTTGTTGTTGTCGTTGTGGTTGTGGCTGTGGTTAGTGTTGTTGCTGTTGTTGTGGCAGTTGTTGTTGTTGTTGTTGTTGTTGTTGTCGCTGTTGTGATTATGGTTGCGGTTTGCTGTTGGTGTTGTTGTTGTTGCTGTTGCTGTTGCTGTTGCTGTTGTTGTTGTTGTTGTCGTTGTTGTTGTTGTCGATGTTGATGTTGTTGTTGCAATTGTTGTTGTAGTTGCTGTTGTTGGGTGACGGTTCAAAAAATTAAATTTGGATCAAAAAAATAAAGCACAAAGATCAAAAACAAAATAAAAATTGGATCAACAAAAATTAAATCAGTACTTCCGCCACAGACTCACGCAAAAAAACAAGGGGGGTGACCGAGGGTGACGGATCAAAACAAATCAAACTTGGATCAAAAAAAACCACAAGGACTCCAACAATTAAAAGCAGTATCAACAAGGTTAAATCAGTACTTCGCTTTTGCCCCCGTAAAGCGATGTCATGTGTCTCGACAAGTTAAGAAAGCGGGCAGTTCATGTGGCTTCTCCCTCTCTTCGTTTTCCACAGAGCCTCATGTTGTCGTTTTACCTTTGTTTTCTTGTTTGTTGCTCTTGGCTTCCCAAAGCGAATACATCTGGCTTCCGCCCTTTTGCCTGTCGGTGAAGACGTTTGTTTCACTCATGAGAAATCTTGTATTCTTCGAATTTTAAATCCCCTGAAGTGTTTTCGTGTGGCTTTGTCCTTGTTGTGCGTTTACAAAAAATGTCTTTAATTCACTTCATCGACAGCTTAAGAAAGCGGGCAGTTTGCAGTTAAAACAAGGGGGGTTGGGGGGGGGCGCAGCCCCCCCCCCTTGCAAACCTTCCAACATGAATTTTGTTTTGCTCGCTTATACCCTCCTGAAGCGATTTCATCTGGCTCGACAACTTTTGAAAGCGGGCAGTTTGCAGTTCAACAACGGGGGGGTTGGGGGGCGCAGTCCCCCACATTTGCAAACCTTCCAACATGAGCTTTGCTTTGCTCGCTTTTACTATATTGAAGAGATTTCATGTGGATGGACAACTTAAGAAAGCGGGCAGTTTGCAGTTAAAAAAGCGGGGGGGTTGGGGGGGGCGCAGCCCCCCCCATTTGCAAACCTTTCAACATGAGCTTTGCTTTGCTCGTTTTTACCACCCCTAAAACGATTTCATGTGCCTCTCCCTCTCTCCGTTATCCAAAGAGATGCATGCTTTCGTTTTACTCTGTTTTCTTGGTCTTGCCCTCCCAAAGCGAGCACGTCTGGCTTGCGCCCTTTTGCCTGTCGGTGAAGACGTTTCATTCGTGAGAAGAAAACGGGGGTTGGGGGGGCGGCGCAGACCCCCCCATTTGCAAACCTTCCAACATGAACTTTGTTTTGCTCGGTTTCCCACTCTAAAGCGATTTCATGTGGCTCGACAACTTAAGAAAGCAGGCAGTTTGCCGTTAAAAAAGCCGGGGGTTGGGGGGGCACAACCCCCCAATTTGCAAACCTTCCAACATGAGCTTTGCTTTGCTCGCTTTTGCCCCCCTAAAGCGATGTCATGTGTCTCGACAAGTTAAGAAAGCGGGCAGTTCATGTGGCTTCTCCCTCTCTTCGTTTTCCACAGAGCCTCACGTTGTCGTTT